TCTCTTTCCCGTATGCAATGCACTCAAATTTATTCCGGCTTACACAATGGTATTTGTTTTGTCATTGTTTAAAGGCAAAATTGACCACTGTTTACCGCTGGCCATCGATCTACCAAAAGCTAAATTCAATTAGGATGATCCTCAAACGCCATATGGTACAATCTGAATACATTGCATGCCAGTTGATCGGCAACGTTATGATTTGTTTAAGCTGTTCCAAATAACTTCCACGCCATCGACAGGTATACATAAACTAGAAAACATAAAAAACGGTGATCTTTATATACAAAGACCGGAAATATAAAACTACAATATACTACGTAACAATATGAGCGGTTACAAACTTTAGTTTATGTTTAATAATGAAAATGACACATTTTGTTAAACAAGAATTATACATAAGATTGCGAAGTATCTAATGTCTTGTAGAAAAACAGCTGCTGCAACATGTATTAAATATTTTTTGTAGCTTTTTATACATCAAGTCTCATAATTTTAAAAGCTGTAGTGAGATTGAGTATTTTTATCAAGACTGAGTTTAAGCTTTCTGCTCAGTTTTTTATTTTTAACTCTGGTGCCTGTAAAATAAAAGAACACATATGTACAGTATGTTACTGCTAAGAAATAGGAAGTTGATAATTGGTAAGTTGAAATCATCACGTTTGTCATGATGAAGGTACGAGTAACGTTTGAAAACTCTACGGACGCACAAAAATACATAAAGTTTTACAAGAGAGGCAAAGGACACAGAAGGAACACTCAAACTCATAAGTCGCAAATAAACTGACAACGCCATGGCTAAAAAGGAAAACGACAAACAAACAACAGTACACAAATCACAACATAGAAAACCAAAGACAGAGCAACACGAACCCCACCAAAAACTGGATTAATTTCGGGTGCTCCTGAAGGGTAAGATATTTACAAGACTAGTATCGATACCCGTTTTGGTGACCTGTAAGTCCCCGAGGATAAAACCAGCTCAGTGGCCAATGCTTAAGGACTGACATCCTTTAAAACATATTTGTTTTCGAAAATGTTCTTTTGACATAAGAAAACGAGAAGTTAATAAAAAACTAAAGTTTCAACTGCCTTAACCACGTTGATATTAGATGAATTTGGCCATTAATTTAGTGTCCCTTAGGCTCACACATTGTTGTCAATATATTGGAATTCTATGCAACTGTCATACAAGTGAGAGGTTTAAATAGCTATGAAACGAGGTTTAATCCACCACTTTCTACATAATCAAATGCCGGTACCAAGTCAAGAATATGACAATTGTTTTCCATTCTATTGATTTGTTTGATGCTTGTAATTTTGCCATTTGTTAAGGGACTTTCTATTTTGAATTTTCCGTGGAGTTCGGTATTTTTGTTATTCTACTTTTTCTTTTAACCACAAAGAACCTATTAAGTCATCCCTAGTCTACAAACCTTTTGGTTCGAGGCTTTCCTGACATACAAAATGTATAACGGGTCTGGCAAACACTTTAATTATAACTTCTCTTGGATGTTTTTTTTTGTGAGCAAATGATTGTAGGAGAAATAGATAACACTAACAAAATACATTAAAGAGGTCAATTAATGATTTTTCATTAAAAATCAAGATGAGATTCAAAACAATTTTTAGTCATACATAACGAATTATTTGATTTGTCAATAATATAGACTAGGAAAACAACAAAACCGAAAAAATTTATCTGTATCTTGTAACATATTAAACAAAAATCCATTCAAAAACAAAATGTCTTGGATAAGATATATGAAGACACTGGTTTTTCGAAGATATAATTCAGTCAGTTGGGTATATGTGGAAAACAGTAATAATCTATTAGTTTTATGGATGACATAATTGAAGAAATATGTATATATAAAAAAGATGTGACATTGCCACTGAGACAGCTATCCACCAGACACCATATGACGTAGGTAGAATAAACTACAAGTCACCGTACGGCCTTCAACAATGAACAAAGATGTTTTATTATATTTATGTAGTTGACATCACAGAATAATTATTATTACTTGACAATATAATGAATTAAAGAATGAAAATATTTTATTTACATGATAATGAACGTTGAAGAACATATCCTCTTTTTCTTTTAAGAAAACTAGATGTTTATTTCCACTTCATTTTGTCTCTGAGAAGGATGAATGTCTCATTGGCCTTTATTTGTGAATAAATTAATTTAAAATATGCGCTGCCAGAAAAATCTGAACTATTAAGAAATATTTATGAAATAGAACTAGTTTTTGGAACGAAGAGATCATTAGCATGATTAGATGGACATTGCTTACTGTTTATATATATATATGCTTTACTTAAATGGAAATTTCTAATAAGGAAAATATTATGACAAATCCGTACAACGTATAGAAGTAAAAATCCCAATTGCTATTTTAGTGACCGTTAAGTACATAAATGCGTAATGTATGGAGAATTGATTTCAAGTATTCTTTAAGTCTGCCATTGTCATATATATCTTGGTGTTGAGGTAGAGACTAAAACATGTCAGACTGGGAATGTTCGTCTTGTACTTTAATTAATAAAGCAGCTGATGATATGTGCTCTGTTTGTGGTCTTAGAAATCCGAATGCAGTATTAACATACCCTGATAATAAAAGCATGGACCACTATGGCGCGATTTCCGAACTCAAATACCCAGAATCGGGGAGATATGATTTGAAAGACACAGGGTCAGATCCTGCAGGTGACAATGGTATGTTCTTCACATTTATGTTCTTAATTATTATTATTATTATTATTATTATTATTATTATTATTATTATTATTATTATTATTATTATTATTATTATCAATACTATTATTATTATAATAATTATTGAGAAAGATTTGTCAGAGCCCTTCAGTTTTTTCTATTCTATTTCATACGTCTTATGTCCCTCAATCGTAAGTATCTGTGTAGTGTTTCCGTTGAATGTTGCATTGTTTGTTTGTTTGGGAACTGTTTTATTAATTTTTTATGTAATGACATTAGTTGCTTAAGAATCGTGGTTTTTGATTGCACTCCTTCGAGTCTTTTACTTCTTTTGTACAGTTTTCCTTTAAATGGAGTTGATAATCTGTCTCTTCCAAATTCCTTTAGACAAAAGGTTCACCAACTCAAGTTAAGATGCCAAAAACGGTAAACATATTTACAGGTCATACGAAATCCATAACCCCTTGCTCATACATATATATCCATTATTGTATGCGTACGGTGACTTATATTTGCTTACATCTACGTCATTTGGTCTCTCTTGGATAGTTGTCTCATTGGAAATCATACCACATCTTCTTATTTTTATGTTATAGTATATTGCAGTATCGTACACTAGTTTTGAACTTTCCTCGAACTCATTTCCGTAGTTCAGCGACTGACTGGAAAAAAATACTTACTTATTTTATGTATCCGGATAACTATTTTGGGTATATTGGATCCATGAAAGATCTACATGTCTTTCAGATAGGGTTTACATGAACTCGACCTCATTTCATGGATCAGTGATCTCGGAATATGTTTTGTGGTCAAGTCCGTATCTCAGATACTATAAGCAATTATAGGTTGAATATATTTGGTATAAAGAAATATCGTAAGGTAGATATGTCCGACTGACAAGTTTCGCCTGACCTTGATTCCATTTTCATGGAACATTGGTCAATGTTAAGTTTTTTTTGTCTGTTTCTCAGAAAGTATAAGCAAAATAGTATTAACAAAAATACCGAACTCCAAGGTATTCAAAAGGGGGTGTCCATGAAACCTGACAAAATAAAACGTCAGACTACATCAAAGAGCGGAACAAATGGAAAACAACTGTCCTATTTCTGACTTGCTACATGCATTTTCCGAAGACATAATTGGTTGATGAGACAATAATTGGGAGCCAGTGTACTACATTGTTTAAACATACAACTCAGACATGCAAAAAAGGGACGAAAGATACCAGAGGGGCAGTCAAACTCATAGATCGAAAACAAACTGACATTTTTGAGATATACCCCTACATTCTATTTTTAGCCATGGCGGCCATGTTTTTTTACGAAACAGAAAATAAAACACAAACTTTATTCTAGATACCCTTAGAATCATTCAGCTTAAGTTTGGTTGGAATTAGTTCAGTGGTTTCAGAGAAGATGATTTTTAAAGTTAGAAAACATGATAACAAATTGTTTAAAATTGTCCTTAAAGGGCAATAACTCCTTAAGGGGTCAATTGACAATTTTTATCATATAAACTTATTTGTAGATCTTACCTTGCTTAACATTTTGCTGTTCACAGTTTATCTTTATCATTAATACTATTCAAGATACATGTAATAACCAAAAACTGCAAAATTTCTTTAAAATTACCAATTTAGTGGCAGCAATCCAATAATGGGTTATCAGATTTAACTGAAAATTTCAGGGCTGATAGAACTTCACCTAATGAACACTTGCTCTATATGCTTCGGTTTTTGAGATATAAGCCAAAAACTGCATTTTACCCCTATGTTCTATTTTTAGCCATGGCGGCCATGTTATTTGACAAAACAGTAAATAAAACACAAACTTTATTCTAGATACCTAAGCATCATTCAGCTTAAGTTTGGTTGGAATTGGTTCAGTAGTTTCAGAGGAGAAGATGTTTAAAATATTTCAAACCAGACGGACGACGACGGACGACAACAGACGACGACGGACGCCAAGTAATGGCAAAAGCTCACAGCTCCTTCGGAACGGTGAGCTAATAAGAAGATTCAGATTGATTGATTTGTGTTTGCTTAATATGAAATATTGTATGCATATTCAAAAGCAATTGTATACCAATCGTCTTCGTCCTTTAGGTAATGTTATTGTGAAATATAATGATATGTATACGATTTATTTATTTCTGTCATTTAAAAACATGAGAACATTTTATTACCAAACGCATCAGAAATGATAAGAATATAAGTTTTCTGTGTTAAGTAAGATACAATTAAATGTATTTCGGTTGATTACACACCGTTTGATCTTCTTTATCTCTTACAGTGAGTTATATTATTAACAAACAATTTCTGAATACCTGTTTCAACCAGGTGCACCCCTTATACCCGAGTCATATGTATATTCATTTCTATCATTAGTTGTAAAGAATTTATAGGATAAATGACACAGTAGAGACTGGTATTTCTATTTGTTTTTGTTTCGATATTTTATTGTTGACAGATGGAAGATATCGTATACAAATTAAAACAAGCGATATATATCTAGGCTTACAGTCGAGATAAGAGCAGCAGAGTCACAATTTTTAAACGAGTATGTCTGTTGCAGGTCTGTTCTTATATTTTTTATATTTCATGAATTCATCCATTCAATTAATGAATGAAAAACATTTGTTCCATAAAAAAAGAATAAATATTATATAGAATGCTTGAATAAATGTTTTCAAATAAAAAAAGTTGAGGAAAAAAAAATTTCCTGTTATTATTGTTTATATCTAATGTTTTATACAATTTGTTGCCATTCATTATTTTTTATACTTCTTATATGCTTAAAATTGTGTTACACTTCGTTTTCCTTTTTAAAATGTTAGTGTCTGCGTATATATTATATAACTATCATTGATTTATTTTTAGCAAGTCGGTCTGTGAGTCAGAATGACATTGAAGCAGGTTGTGTTAAAGATGGTAGAGAATTACGATTAGTGCTAGTAGGTCGTACTGGAAGCGGAAAGAGTGCCACAGGAAATACAATTCTTGGGAAAAACAATTTTAAAGCAATGGTCTCTGGATCATCAGTGACTGTCAATTGTAGCCGGGGAGAATGTTATCGCGGAAATAGACTTCTTTTAGTCGCTGACACACCAGGGTTATTTGATACAAACCATTTAAATTTTGAAGTCACGCGCGAGATTAGCAAGTGCGTTGGTATGACCTCACCTGGTCCCCACGCTGTTCTTCTTGTTATCGCAATCGGACGATATACTAAAGAGGAACAGGATACAGTCGAACATTTTATACAGCATTTTGGACATGACGTCATCAAGTATATGATGATAGTCTTTACCCGTGAAGATAATTTAAAACAAGAACAGGATACCATTGAAGAGTTTCTTGAAACTGCTCCATCTGAACTTAAAGAGATTGTACGAAAATGTGAGAACAGGTACATTTGTGTTGACAATATTGCAAGCGAATCTGAAAAGAAGAGAAAAGTTGATGAACTTATAACAAAAATCGACGACATGGTGGATAAAAATGGCGGTGTTTGTTATACTAATGAGATGTATGCTGCTGCAGAGGATGTATTAGCAAGACGCATGGATCAAATTAGGGCAGAGTTCGAGCAAGACCAAGAACGCGAGAGACGTAAACTTCATAACCAAATATCTTCAGAATTTGAACAGGACATTCGTGCTCTGACAAATGAAAGATCTAAACTAGAAGATAGAATGGCAAGGATGCATTGGGAAAAAGATTACTCCGAGATGGAAAAACAGACTTTACAGATGGAAATGTTACGAATTCAGCAACAAAAGGAGATCAGCCAAGGAGAGATAGACGAGGGAGAGAACCGACAATTATCTGAAAGAATCGCAGCACTGCGCAGGCGTGCAGTTCTCCTTAACCAGCAGCTGCAACAAAAAGAACGTCAACGACTATTGATGCTTTCCGATTTAGAAAAAACAAATCACGGAATCAAACAAAAACGGAAGGAAAGAGGAAGAAGATCCTCCATGGGATCTTATCGAAGAGAATACATTGATGAAAAAACTGTACGACAAAAGGCACGCGATGACGTCGAAAACAAATCCTCAAACATTTTTACAGAACTTTTGGAATCTCTAAAGAACGTTGGAAAAACATTTCTTAGTCAAGCCATCAAGTTTTTCAACAATTTGTTTTGAAGTCGTATTTTCTTTATGGTGTTTGGATTTTTTCGCCATATTTTTGTACAATTTTATTCTATTACGTGTACGTAAACACAAATTAATGACTGTGTGTTTCTGCAAAATGCGTTATGTATATATGTAAAAGAAAAAAATTACCATGAATAGATCTTGAAATATATGCAACTCTTCTAACTGTGAAGTGACTTTATGCGACTATATCATAACAATTGCATAGAAGACTCAAGGATACAACTGCATGCATTGCCTAAAACATGTATAAAGAAACCCGATACAACCTATTTTAGGTATATTTACAAATATCGGCCAGTATGCTTACACTGTTGACACACCTGATCTTTTCTGTTTGGATTTGATGTCCTATCGACTCTTTGCACGTCCTCTTTGTCTGTTTTTGTACAAGTACGTACATTGTAGAAGTAATTTGTTAATATTACTCCCTTCAAACTATTTATTATTCATGTTTAAATTTGTATTGGCATAGCCTCTTTTGGAAAAGTAAGATATATTTTGTAAAAATTAAAGTTCCGTTGGTGTTTAAGAAGCCAGCATGGTTTGTCTTTTTTTTTTGCCATTATGTTTGCTGTCCTTCTTATTGCGATTTTAATTCCCCCTCAATATTTTCTTATTTCATTGAAATTCCTACCTATATGATTGCGTGTTAGCCTATTGTAATAATATCAGGTGAAATAAATTTAAGCGTTTGGAAAATTGTGTTACAAATTTCATATACTAATTAATTAGAAAAACACTGAAGGTGTAGAACAGTTATAACCATAAATTTATAAAGACCAAACAATACCATTGCCAAAAAAAAAACCAACAAAAAAACAAATAGGACAATAGTAAAAATTATACAACACGAGAAATTGTACATTACGAATTTTACTATCTATAGGGTGAACATTATTTAAAACTATTTTAGACTTTTCCGTTGCAGTCAATCTACTAAATATTTTTCTATCGATAAGGGCCTCCTATTGTATCCTCCCTGTAAGAGTGTGAATTTACTGGGTCTCATGAAAGAAAGACTGAGATAATTTAAAGTTAAAATAAAAAGGTGTGGTATGATTTCCAATGAGACAACTATCAACCATGCCAACGGACAGTGAGTTTAACTACAGGCCACCGTACAGTTTTCAACGATTAAACAAGTTCATACCATATACTAAGCTATTAAAGATCACGGGATAACAAAATTGGCAAAGATTGAGCCGAAAAAAACAACAGTTCTAATCATGCTTATAGAATTAAACAAAAAAGAATTTTGACATAGATTATTATATTAAATAAAGGCTGATACACAATAATAAAACTTAAACTTTTAGAACTGGAAAATCCCACTTTTACACATTCCTCTCCCCGTAGAATATATATGAATATGACGTATGCGTTCCATGTTATGTTATAATAAGAACTATACCACATTAAAACCTCTAAAAGATAATTATTTTAATATGAAAATAAAAAAATCGACTTTTTGAACAAATGTCCAATATTTATTTAATTTTCACAAATTATATCTCTTCCGCAGTATCACATGTAAGCGATACATTAGTTGAAAACTGATTCAAGGTGGATAGGTTTTTCTTCTGTATACAACATACAAATTATACAAAGAAGGAAGATTTCATGATAGATTCACACTTTTGTAATTATTATTACTGAATTTGTACATGTTGTAATATATTTCTGTAATGAATTATTGTAAAACATATTGTCTACTAGGATGTGTGAATTCTTTCATTCATAATATCTGTTATGCCCCACAAATATATTGTTTCATTAAAAAACACGGAAGTGTAAAGTGATTCTAGGAATCATCCTGTTTGTCCGTCCGTCCGTCTGTCTGTCAATCATTCTGTATATGTGAAATAAGGATTTTGTATGATTGCCGATGAGACAACTATCCAACAGAATATAAATGATGTAAACGAAAGCAATTATCGGCCCCCATACGACCTTTCAACATTTAGTAAAACCCATACATACCGTATATTGAGCTATAAAAGGTCCCGACATGACAAAATATGAAACAAATAAACAAAAAAACAGCGGTCTGATTTACAACAAAACAATAACAAAAATAGATATAACAGATATCAACCAACGACAAACACTGAATTATAGGCTTATACCTTGGAACAGTGTCATATAGAATGCACCTTGTAAGCACAACTCCTCCTAACGGGATGTATGGATATAAATGGTACTTTACATAGTTGTAGAACTCTACCCGAGAAAGTGGATAGATGAATAAAATGTCGGTCCTTCGTGTTTGAGGGGACATACACGAATTTAATTATTTCAATAATGCAATTAGAAGTTATAATATAATGGGACGGTAGTATCCTTTTGTGAGTTCACTTGCAGTTCTAGATTGCCAATAGATTGTTTTTATCATGCTTAACAATTTTTGTACATGAAGCTTGCTACTTCAAGAAGAAAGCAGATCCGTATACATGCATTTCGTTTATGTATTTTTCTGTATATTTACTGATAATAAAATGTAAACTCAGTAGAAACACTCAAGTTTTCTACTCTCAGGCATATAGGAATCATATATGCCCAGATTTCGCCTAACTTTTTGGAAGAGTTTTCTACTCTCAAGCATTTAGGAATGATATTTGCCCAGATCTCGCCTAACTTTTGGGAACAGTTTGTTCTCTCAGGCATATAGGAATGATATTTGCCCGGATTTCGCCTAACTTTTTGCAACAGTTTGTTCTCTCAGGCATATTGGAATGATATTTGCCCAGATTTCGTCTAACTTTTTGGAACAGTTTGTTCTCTCAGGCATATAGGAATAATATTTGCCCAGATTTTGTCTAACTTTTTGGAACAGTTTGTTCTCGCAGGCATATAGGAATGATATTTGCCCAGATTTCGTCTAACTTTTTGGAACAGTTTTCTACTCTGAGGCATTTAGGAATGATATTTGCCCAGATTTCGTCTAACGTTTTGGAACAGTTTGTACTCTCAGGCATATAGGAATGATATTTCCCCAGATTTCGCTTAACTTTTTGGAACAGTTTGTTCTCTCAGGCATATAGGAATGATATTTGCCCAGATTTCGTCTAACGTTTTGGAACAGTGTGTACTCTCAGGCATATAGGAATGATATTTGCCCAGATTTCGCCTAACTTTTTGGAACAGTTTGTTCTCTCAGGCATATAGGAATGATATTTGCCTAGATTTCGTCTTACGTTTTGGAACGGTTTGCACTCTCAGGCATATAGGAATGATATTTGCCCAGATTTCGTCTAACTTTTTGGAACAGTTTTCTACTCTCAGGCATTTAGGGAATTATATTTGCCCAGATTTCGTCTTACTTTTGGGAACAGTTTTCTCTCGGGCATATAGGAATGATATTTGCCCAGATTTCGTCTAACTTTTTGGAACAGTTTGCTCTCTCAGGCATTTAGGAATGATATTTGCCCAGATTTCGTCTAACTTTTTGGAACAGTTTGTTCTCTCAGGCATTTAGGAATGATATTTGCCCAGATTTCGTCTAACATTCTGGAACAGTTTATACTCTCAGGCATATAGGAATGATATTTGCCAAGATTTCGTCTAACTTTTTGGAACAGTTTGTTTTCTCAGGCATTTAGGGATGATATTTGCCCAGATTTCGTCTAATTTTTGGAACAGTTTTCTACTCTGAGGCATTTAGGAATGATATTTGCCCAGATTTTGTCTAACGTTTTGGAACAGTTTGTACTCTCAGGCATATAGGAATGATATTTCCCCAGATTTCGCTTAACTTTTTGGAACAGTTTGTTCTCTCAGGCATATAGGAATGATATTTGCCCAGATTTCGTCTAACGTTTTGGAACAGTGTGTACTCTCAGGCATATAGGAATGATATTTGCCCAGATTTCGCCTAACTTTTTGGAACAGTTTGTTCTCTCAGGCATATAGGAATGATATTTGCCTAGATTTCGTCTTACGTTTTGGAACGGTTTGCACTCTCAGGCATATAGGAATGATATTTGCCCAGATTTCGTCTAACTTTTTGGAACAGTTTTCTACTCTCAGGCATTTAGGGAATTATATTTGCCCAGATTTCGTCTTACTTTTGGGAACAGTTTTCTCTCGGGCATATAGGAATGATATTTGCCCAGATTTCGTCTAACTTTTTGGAACAGTTTGCTCTCTCAGGCATTTAGGAATGATATTTGCCCAGATTTCGTCTAACTTTTTGGAACAGTTTGTTCTCTCAGGCATTTAGGAATGATATTTGCCCAGATTTCGTCTAACATTCTGGAACAGTTTATACTCTCAGGCATATAGGAATGATATTTGCCAAGATTTCGTCTAACTTTTTGGAACAGTTTGTTTTCTCAGGCATTTAGGGATGATATTTGCCCAGATTTCGTCTAATTTTTGGAACAGTTTTCTACTCTGAGGCATTTAGGAATGATATTTGCCCAGATTTTGTCTAACGTTTTGGAACAGTTTGTACTCTCAGGCATATAGGAATGATATTTCCCCAGATTTCGCCTAACTTTTTGGAACAGTTTGTTCTCTCAGGCATATAGGAATGATATTTGCCCAGATTGCGTCTAACATTTTGGAACAGTTTGAACTCTCAGGCATATAGGAATGATATTTGCCCAGATTTCGTATAACTTTTGGGAACAGTTTTCTCTCATGCATAAAGGAATGATATTTGCCCAGATTTTGACTAACTTTTTGGAACAGTTTTCTTATCTCAGGCATTTAGGAATGATATTTGCCCAGATTTCGCCTAACTTTTTTGGAACATTTTGTTCTCTCAGGCATATAGGAATGATATTTGCCCAGTTTTCGCCTCTCTTTTTGGAACAGTTTGTTCTCTCAGGCATATAGGAATGATATTTGCCCAGATTTCGTCTAACTTTTTGGAACAGTTTGTTCTCTCAGGCATATAGGAATGATATTTGCCCAGATTTCGTCTAACTTTTTGGAACAGTTTGTTCTCTCAGGCATATAGGAATGATATTTGCCCAGATTTCGTCTAACTTTTTGGAACAATTTTCTACTCTCAGGCATTTAGGAATGATATTTGCCCAGATTTCGTCTAACTTTTTAGAACAGTTTGTTTTCTCAGACATATAGGAATGATATTTGCCCAGATTTCGTCTAACTTTTGGGAACAGTTTTCTCTCAGGCATAAAGGAATGATATTTGCCCAGATTTCGCCTAACTTTTTGGAACAGTTTGTTCACAATACTCATCAATCATGTAATTGATTAGGGAGCTACCATTTCATTTGTATGGGGGTGGGCGGGGGCTAGGATGAAATTTGAAAAAAAGGCAGGACAGGAGTTTTGAGAGGCAGGATGAGCAACTTGGCAAACAAAAAGACAGAATGTCAATTTATGTAAAAAAAGTCAGGATAAACTAATAAAAAAGGCAGGACTGAATAGAGTGAAAAATAAAAAGGCAGGACAGAGATTATAACTAAAAAAAAATGCAGAACAAAATTTTTCATCCTAGCCTCCCCCACCCATAAAATCAAATGGTAGCTTCCTCAAATGTGTCATTTGATTGATTTCGAACTTCGCCAATGAGTCTTGTTTAAACGAAACTAACGCTCTTTATATAAACTGTAAGATTGGTATATTTGATGATTTTTATAAATCGTAAAGTTTTTGTAACAATATACATAAAATTTGAAAATGGTTCTAAGTTTTAAAAAATTATAATGATACATGGTTGATATTCAAGTCATATGCCCGGACACACACATTAACATTTGACCACAATGATTAATTTGAGAAATTTTATACAAGGGTTAAAACTTACTTGGGTTAGAAGATCATTTAAGTCAAAATCTAAATGGATACAACTATTTACCTCCACACAAAATATAAATTTTACAGAGTTGGCTTATTCTGGAATCATTAAAAAATCAAAAAACAAATTTTGGGATGAAGTTTTTAATGCCTGGAAAAATATGTCAAAACTCAAAAATCCTTTTCATTTCGGCATCTATATGGAATAACGAACATATTCAAATTGATAATGTCAGCGTTTACTATAAAAATTGGGCACACCATGGGGTATGGACTGTAAATGACCTGTTAGATGAACATGAAAATATATTAACATATGAAAATTTTCAAATACTGTATAATTTCGAACCTATGTTTCTACAGTTTTATGGGCTTATACTAGCAATAAAAAGGTGGTTACAAGCCATTGGAATCAACACTGAAAGAGAGAAAAAACATCAGGCTATTATGCCTTCTAATATTAATATTTTCTTCAAGTCAGAAAAGGGCTCAAAGGATATGTTTACTATTTTAAACCAAGGTACTATACCTATAGATTTTGCGGCAGAAAAAAAATGGGAAGGTATTGTGAATAAAGTTGTAGAAAATTGGAAAAAAATACACTTTTGTGTTACCAAGGTTTAAAAAAACACTAGGTTATGTTGGTTTCAATATAGAATTATTCATTATATCTTGGGTACAAACGCTATACTCTTTAAAATGAACCTTGTAAATTGTAATTTGTGTACATTTTGCAAGGAAGAGATAGAAACTATAGAACATTTACTTTGGGGTTGTCATATTGTAGCCGTCATTTGGCACAA